GTCACGATATTTTGAATTAAAATTGAAAACTAAACTGAAATGCAAATTTTACCAAGTAAACTATTTTTTATGTATGTCTTTTGTTTCAACTTGTTAAACTGAACCGTCTTTAAGAAAATAAATTAAACAGGCCTGTCTCTGGAAAATAAAACAATTTAAAAACTTCTTACAAATATTATTGAAATGACAGAGACAAAATTAAGGAACAATTTAAGTAAAGGTGCAAAACAAATAATCTTTCTATTCAATTGAGTTTAACAGTAAGAGCTTAAGGCTTTGCTTGGTCACTTGCGTTTTTTGTGTGTGCAAAAAAAAAAATCCACATTTCCAGGTATTTAATTCATATTTAATTAAATTCATTTAGAGACATCTCTAATTACAATTGTGACTAGTCAAAACTCATACAGAGATATCTGCACATATTTTTCAATGGAAGTCAATGGAGGAATATGACTAGTCATAATATATTTGCAGATATCTCCAATCGGATTTCGTACTAGTACAATTGCAATTGCAAATATCTCTAATTGTCATTATGACTAGTCAAAATATAATTAGAGATATCTCTAAATATATTTATGGATAGTCAGAACAAAGGTTTAAATGCTAAAACGGCTTGCCATACGCGCGCGTCTATCATCCGCCCTCTGTAGTATCAGCTCACGGTCAGCTCACGTCATGTGTGATTTTGCGGCGGGAACATTATATGAAGACAGAATGATATTTTAGGGTGAATTGTACCTTATAAATACAGTGTGTGACTCTTTCAACACCATTAGGAGGTATCCCTGTGGCTGTGCAAAGTATGTAAATCACTGTGAAGACTTTAAAACTTAGGATGTTTGACCCAGTATGCGTGTCAAAAAGCGGACGAGTCTAAAGCAATGACTGTACAACCGAAATGTTGCCAGACGTCTGATTTTGAGAGGATGGGCCATCCTGTATTTCAGCTCCACTCATCTTGGTCTGCTAACATTACTGCTGCTGCAATCTGAACTCACGTGCGACAGCAGGTGGAACGTAGCTCACGTGCAAACAGCTCAACTAATAAGAGAAAACGCACGTCATATCGTAATCAAATCGTCATAACGCCACCATGCATATCGAGACATTTTTGCATCGCAATAAAACATACAATGATAAATCGTTACACCCCTAATATATATATATATATATATATATATATATATATATATATTAATGAACATGTGTATATGCAAATATGTATAAATGATCTTATAAACATTTATG